CCCCCCCGCCCCTATATATTGCTCTTTGCCAGCAACAGTTCTTTTAAGGAGCTCTTGTACAGGTGCCCGGGGAGTATCTAATGGATGGATAGATAGATGGTTTTATTGACTGATGGGTGGATAGATGGTTGAATGAATGAGCAGTTTTCACTTCTTTAGCATTTATCTTTCTCCTACAGGCCAGACCTTGGGTATTCATACAGTTTTTTTCATCAGCCCAGAGTTATAGGCATTGTAGCTTGCTCTCCTAAAGTAATTTCTAGGGTCTAAAACCTTAAAACTCTTGAGTATTGTCTAAACTTGAGATCTGCCTAAGATGGATAGGTTTTCAAGATTTTTTTCATGGATAGAAAAACTAAGAGGGTAAGTAAGGTCTTAGGGCTGGCCTGTTAGCTTACCTCGTCAGAGTATGGTGCTGATAACACCAAGGTCAAGGGTTCAAATCCCCACACTAGCCAACCACCAAAAAAAAAAAAAAAAGTTTTTCATTTATATAATAAATCATTAATTAACAAGAAAAGGTAAAATAAATGAAAGTATAGACATTGCCACACTGTAATGTTTGGGTAGTAGTTTTTTAGACTGTGTTCTCTGTAGTTCTAGGCTTCCCCAGAGGTTTCTACAGGATCCCTATGGGGAGCAGTGCTGCTGGGAAGGCAGAATCCTGGGTCCCCAGTCCTACTTTAACCAGAACAACTATGCTCTTATGTATTTTTCATATTAGGACTCAGCATAAGATTTTTAGAAAAAAAAAAAAAAAAAAAAAAAAAAAAGTTACCCTAATAAATATACTAAAAATGATAAGGGAAAATACTGGAAACGTGAAGCAATAATCCATTAATAGATGGTAAATACAAAGAAATGTTAAGTAGTACGAGTCAACAATCATATAATTGGAATCTCACAAGAGGAAAAATTCAGTGTAGTGAAAGGAAAATTGCAAGAGGTGATTCTGAGACTTTCCCAGAATTTTTTTTAAGGAAGGGCTTGCCAGTTAGCTCAGTTGGTTGGAGCATAGTGTTGTAACACCAAGGTCAAAGGTTTGGATCCCCATACCAGCCAGCTGCCAAAAAATAAATAAATAAATAAAAAGTCATAGGAACTGAGGTGTTTTTTTTTTTTTTTTTTTTTTTTTACTTTTTAAAAGATGACCCGTAAGGGGAACTTATCCCTTGGCTTGGTGTTGTCAGCACCACGCTCAGCCATAGAGCTAACCGGCCATCCCCATATAGGATCCGAACCTGTGGCCTTGGTGTTATCAGCACCACACTCTCCCGAGTGAGCCACGGGCCAACCCTGGAACTGAGTTTTAAAAGACTCACCAAGTGCCAAAAAATAAATACGAACCCTCAGTGGTAAACATTATAGTAAAATGTATGACTATTAAAAATAAATCAAAAACTCTCAAAGCTTTTAAAGAGTAAAAGCATTGGCAACAGTTTGATCCCTTAAAAAAAAAGAAAAAAGAAAAGAAATAAAGAGTAAAGGCGTATTACATGTAACAGAAGAGTCAGATTGACATTGAACTTCTCAACAGTGACCCTGGACACATAAAATAATATTTTCAAGGTGCTGCTGAAGGAAAAAAATATATATTGAACACATAATTTTCTCTCTAGCTAATTAATTTTTGAAGCCCAAGAGTGAAGCATAAATATTAACAAAACACACTCTTTGAAAACATAATTGGAGTAAGTATTCCAGTAAGAAAAATATATTACGAGGAAAATGCTATTTGATATGGGAAGTGAGGATAAGTAATTAAATTAGAAACTGTTATTCTTGCTGAAATATATATGGACTAAAACAGAGAAAAAGTATATCTATAGCAATGCAAAACTAAAATTCTAGACAATACCAATAAGGTGTGTGTGGCATGGGTGAGAAGTGCAGAGAAAAGATGAGAGTCCTGAGAAAATTGCCTTGTTTGGAAGAAAGATAAAGATATTGATAAGTTTAAGAAATTGTTTGGAAAAGATCAATGTATTGAGTCCAACTCATTGTATGAGGCTAATTTGACATTGATTCCGAAACCCAAAACAAGACAAAATAAGAATTATAAACTGATTTCACTTGGAACACAGGTGTAAAAAATCCTAAATAAAATATCTAACCAACTCAAACCATGTATTTAAAAATCTGTTAGAATGAACCATTTTCTCTGAGTTTTTCTGAGTGATTTTTTTCTAACTGGATTCTTTGGGGATCCACTCTCTTGTAGAGCAAACCCCAAGTAAAATTTGAACTTGTGTTTCATTCTTTAAAGTCATAAAGAGATTGCCTATTCCAAGCCTTGAATTTCGTTTATAATAATACTGAAGACCAGAGGTGGAATGACTTACCTAACATCATTTAACTAATTAATTTTAGTAGTAGGGTTTAAATTCAGTTGTCTAGACTTCCAGAGCCCATTCCTTTTTATGACATGGCCTTTCTGCTAATTCTCTCTCACTATTCTTCTTAAGGCATTGTTAACTAATAATGTCCTCATTTATTTATTCAGTAACTGCCCTAGTCATCAGTAAAAGTCATCTATGTGTTGAAGGTATGAAAATAACTAGAAAACCATCCCTGTCAATCAGTCAGTCAACAAAAATTTATTGCGTAATATATTTAAGGAATTGTATGATAAGCTGGGAGATACAAAGTAATGTCACATGCTCTTAATTGAATAAATGTATAGTCTAGTTGAGTGAACAATATACCTGACAGTTTCTTTCTTTTTTTTCTTTTTTTTTAAAGATGACCAGTAAGAAGATCTTAACCCTTGACTTGGTGTTGTCAGCACCACGCTCTCCCAAGTGAGCCAATCAGCCATCCCTATCTAGGGATCCGAACCCGTGGCCCTGGTGTTATCAGCACCACACTCTCCCAAGTGAGCTGCAGGTGGCCCTCTGACAGTTTCTTATATCATTAGTTGCCTGTTTAAGGGCCAAATGAGAGCAATGTCCACTTGGACCCTCTGAAAGGAGAGTTCTTTGGCCTGGGATGGTCAGGGAATGTTTGGTAGAAGAGATTGGGCTCAGGAACCTCTGCTTTGTGCTATCATGGGAATGCATCTGGTGGTTCTAACACTTATCCCAACATACCTGGACCCCATAGGGTTAAAACAACGAGGAAGGTGCTTGGATTTTAAGACAAATCTCCCTGGGTGGACTTGAGCAAAGGGCACAGTGATTTGTGAAATACCTGTAGCTCCTATACCTGGGGGTCTCATTTCATCTTGCACCTCTAGAAAGGAGGGTTAAATGTCAGGACTCGTAATTTTTTTTTTTTTTTTTTTTTAGCAGCTGGCCAGTAGAGGGGATCCAAACCCTTGATCTTGGTGTTATCAGCAGGGTGCTATAACCAACTGAGCTAACTGGCCAACCTTCAGGATCTTAAAGGAAGGCATAAAAGTTGTTTATTTTCAAGTTACTTTTTTAAAGACCTAATTCTGTCAGCATTTGTGCCAAAGGATTAGTTCGAGCTCAGCTTGATGTGGAATGTACAAAACTTTACACGATAATTGTTGTAGGTTCACCACAGGATCATGACACCAAGCTCTCAGCTTCATACATAAACTGCTTCAACCCAGGGGTCAAGATCAAGGTGCTGTCCCAGAGACAACCACTGAGCCACTGCTCGAAGCACCCCAGGCTCCTGAGCCAGGGT